ACTGGTGTGTTCTCCACATCCAAAATTGTCCATGAATGCCGGACGTCTCTCAATGACATTCGAACATCACCCTAATTTGGGTAAAGGGACATGGGAATTCGTATGGCAACGGTATTGCTGACACATTGGTAAGAGCTGGCACTATGCTTAGCAGAATGGATATAGATCAGTTCTGCGGTATACCACTACTTGCAGTTAAGAGGCAAATCAGTGAAAAATGCCTCTGCATCGCTCGCGACAAATGGTCGCGTGAACACACGTGCTCAACATGTAGAGTACTGTGGCCACAAATGGATCCTCAAAGGTCTAAATATCTTCTTGGTCTCCAAAGACCGCAGTTAAGTAGGCTGATATCGATAATCACTGGCCACTGTAAATTTGGGAACCATGCCAGACGCATTGGTCTCCCGTTCAACGATTACTGTAGGAGTTGTCAAAACGAGGATGAAGAAGAGACTATTACTCATCTTCTCTGCGATTGTCCTGCTTTGGCGGAGGCCCGTTTTCGGACGCTTGGATCGACCTATTTTGGTGATCTAACCGAATTGTCAAACATTCAATTAGAACGTCTTCTATAGTTCATTAATTTGTCAAAATGGGTGTGAATCCTATTACTCTCACTACTCATCCACGGCAGCTGCCCTGGCTTTCTCATTTCTCATCATCTCCTTCTCTTTGCAACTGTCTCTGTTCTTTCACTCTCCTCTATCTCTCCCTCTCTTCTCTTTTCTTCTTCTTACAGGTATTTTTACAAAGGGATCAACATGGACCCAAGTAAAGCCGAAATTGGCTACCTGTGTAAACCTAACCTAACCTATCTAATTATAAATACATTTTATTTTGATGTCATTAGTAGTCCATCCATCAGGTATATGCTGTATAGATTGTCCGTCGACAAAGACTTCAGCAGACCTGCATTTATTAAATTTTAATGTCCTCTAATAGAATTTAATAGTAGATATTCTATGAGGCCTTCTAATGGGCCTTCTATTACCCTTCATATAGAAGCGCATAACGATATGCATTGGCTTCAAATTACATTAATAAACTATAAATTTCAGTATTTTTTTATATATGCAAGTTTAATAGCAAGTAAATGAATAATATACGATAAATACCTAAGTACGGTTAAACACTCTTCATCCCAAAAGACATGATTTATATTTAGCAGTTTTATATATTTTTATATAACATATAACCATCACCTATTCAACTTACAGTCTTGACTTTACACTACTATTTCCTAATTGGTTATAATAACCCAAAAAAGAAGAATATCATCAAATCATCGCTGTGCTAAACCTGCATATAAGCGATATACCTATCCATTTATTGCGGTGTATCATGTACCGCATGACCAACTAAACTTTACTTATATTTTTTACAGGCTTTTTTATTACTTACTGACACTGAATTAATTCGGTAATCCATCATTTAAATCTTCCAAATCAATCAAAACTAATAATTATGTACCGCAATTCAGTATTTTTTCAACTACAACATTTTGTCGTTAAATAGTAAAAATTCATAATTAACAATAATTGTCGTTATGTGGTATGTATTCTGAATTTTATTTCACCGATTTTTTTTTTCGTTAAACATAACCGAAAAGTATCGGCAGTGTAACGACCAATAAAAAGTTCACGTTAATAATTTTATACTTTACGATATCAATAATTAAAATTAAAAAAATTACCGAATTCCGGCACTGATGTCCTACCAATATTTTTCCAGGTCAAACACCAATATCAGTCATTGTTTGGCATATCTTGAGTTGTCCCCAAGCATTATTTACGCATGTTTTTATATTCCCAGTTTGTTGTTTCTTCGGGAATGTCCTTCAATTTAATTATTTTGAAAAGTTTAAATAACGTAAAACCTCCAATCGAAAACTCTGAATATAAAACTGAAGTCCTAATTCTTATAAAAATATTCCTTTCGAATTGGTAACAATCGTAACGATATTATAACAAAATAGATCATTATCTCATTCACAATTTAGCACTTTACACAAAAATATAAAACAATAAAATCCTATTTTAGCTTTGCGTAAGCCTGTTTACATACATATTTGTTTACAAAAATCTTATTAAAAACAACAACAACAACAAAAACAAATATCATGCAAAATATAAAAAGAAAACTCTGAGAAGTTAAACGTTTCTGCACTCTCCTCTCTTTGTTTGTTTTTACCCTGCAAACAATTGCTATCTAAATAGTATCCATAACGTAACAACGTGTAGGTAAAAATATCTAAAAAACATCTAATATTGCACAATTTGAAAGGAAGAAAAGTGACCGCATTGGTAAGAAACTGTTTCTCCTGTTTAATACTTACTTAGTGAGTCGATTTCGTTTCAGTTTTAAGTCACTTTTTTATAGCATAAAAGTGTGTAAAATTAGTAAAATTTCAAGTTTTGACATAGCAATAGGGAAACTGGAAATTTATCTAATTTTACACTATTTTATGTAGTAAAAGCGACTTTATAATACATTTTCTTTATTTATCTTACTTTATGAATAATTTAAAATTGTTTATACTCACTAATCTCTCACTTATGTTTATTATATATTAAATTTATTCTTTATATATTAAATTTTAAATAAAATCATTACAAAATTTCACAATGTGTTACTATTCACACAACTGATCACTATAAACTTAATATATTTACTGAAATATACAAACACTTTTTCTTTTAAATTTTGAGAGCAAAAATAATTCTGTTTTAAATTATCTTGTTAGTGTATTAAAAAGTGTTCTTTTTATACATTTTTATTCTATCTAATTATTATCATTTACGTGTCTTTTTGGTATATTAGATCGAACTTAAATTTTACAAAAATGGGATAAAAATGAGAAAAAAATGTATTTTGTTTTTGTAAATATTTTTATTTAGCACTGAGAAACATGAAGTTGAGCCTAAATAGTGTAAATTTAGTTCATTTATCCAAAATTAAACTCAAATTTGCTGACAGGGTAGCTCCTAAAATTCTGAACCGATCTCATTAATATATATATATTGTGCACATCTGCGAACAAATACCTTTAAAATGATATATTTTTTGCCAAGATCAGATGTATACTGTAAGAGTGAAAGGGGTCATAAAAAATCGTCTTGCCTATTAATTATATAGATTTACTAGCTATACCCAGTGTGCTTTACTACCCTAAAAACAATATAAATAAACAAGTAAGAAATTATAGTCGGGCGAGGCCGACCATATAATACCCTACACTTCTTACAAAATTAAAATGTGATTTAGTTTTCATAATAAAGTATTTAAGTTGAATTGTACCTTGTCTCAGATATACTTAAGCCATTTATTGTTGAATAAAATTGTGGACATTTTTAAATTTTGAAGGGGGCTTTGTATAGGTTAAATGAAACCCTATAACTATCAAATATTTGAGGGTCATCAAGGCTAGTATAGAACTTGGTTTTGTAGCTTTTTGTCGAAATACGAGTATATTAATCATAATTATGAACTTAAGAGCCCTATTCGGCGGGTTCAGTTGTATAGGGGCTAGGTGAAATAATGGACCGATGTTAACCATTTTCAATAAGCTTCGTCTCCGATACCATAGAAGATCGTGTGCCAAATTTCATTGAATTATCTTCAAAATTGCGACCTGTAGTTTGATTACAAGGTTTACAAGCCCTATTCGGGGGTTCAATTGTATGGGGAATAGGTGAAATAATGGACCGATGTTAACCATTTTAATAGGCTTCGTCTCCGATACCATAGAAGATCGTGTGCCAAATTTCATTGAATTATCTTCAAAATTGCGACCTGTAGTTTGATTACAAGGTTTACAAGCCCTATTGGGGTGTTCAGTTGTATGGGGATAGGTGAAATAATGGACCGATCTTAACCATTTTCAATAGGCTTTGTCCCTGGGACAATAGAAGATCATGTACCAAATTTCATTGAATTATCTTCAAAATTGCGACCTGTAGTTTGATTACAAGGTTTTCATGGACGGACGGACGGACAGACGGACGGACATAGCTAAATCGACTCAGAAAATGATTCTGAGCCGATTGCTATACTTTAAGGTGGGTATAGGACCAATATTATTGTGCGTTACAAACATCAGCACAAACCCAATATACCCTCCCCACTAAAGTAGTGTAGGGTATAATGAATGTCAAAGTTCTTCAAGTAAAATTTGAAGATTCTAGCTCTAATAGTTTCTCAGACATACGAATTTTTCTATTAAATTCATATGGGGGCTTCAAACCCCCCAGATGAAAGTCCGCTCTTTTTCCTCCAAAATGTTGAGATGAATATTAAAGTTCTTCGTGCAAAATTTTAAGAAATTAGTTCTATTAGTTTCCCAGATAAACGAATTTTTGTATTTAATTAATATGTGAAGTACCGCTCCTCTCATGGGTAGTCCGCCAATTTATTACCCAAAATGTTTACATAAATGTTAAAGTTATTTATTTTAATTTTAAGATTCTAACTATAATAGTTTCCAAGATAAACGAATTTTTGTATTTAATTTATATGGGAGTTGCCACGCCCTAGTCCTCCCACTTTTTGATCTCAATAATCATATTGACACTAAGGTGGCTCCTACAAAATTTGAGGACTCTAACAGTTAGAAAATATACGTTTTAATATTTTTTGAATATGGGCGTGGCTCCTCGCCCACTTGAAATTTCAAAATAAAAAGTAGCCTATTACCTATTATTAAGTCCTGGTCCACACTTGGAAACTTTTGATGAGAAACTTTTTCTTAATCCTCTTTTGAGAAACTTTTGTTTCAGAAAGTACGTATTAATTGCATTGATTTGTTGTTGTACGAATGAGAAGAATAACAAAACAAAACAAGTTTACGAGTACAAGAAACTCCGTACCGCAAGAGAGATGAATGATATTCTTTCTCTTTCTCTCTCACGCAAAATCAAAAGTTTCCCAAAAAAAGTTTCCTAGTGTGGACCGGCAGTAATTAATAATATTACTACATATAAATTCAATTAAATACTCACCACGTTTGTTGACATTTCGTGGTGGACATTTGCATCACAGCCTATTATCCACCCAAGGTTGCGCTGTTGGCAAAAGGCAACCAGTCTAGACACCTCAGGCATCGACATCGCCTAGTAAGTATGCCGAGGACAATTTCAGGTTCCCCAGTCAGTGATGGCAGCCTGATCAGTACGGCTACCAGATCTCCCTGTAGGAATTCTGAAATAGGTAAATACGTTAATTCCTTTTTGTATTTGATTATATATCAGATTACCTTGGTCGGTTTGGAGGCCTCTAATTACCCCCGAGTTAAGCCAGGGTACCTGGATGAGACACACATCCAGGAGGTCAGTAGTGAACTTGCGACATAGCAAATGAGAAGCTGCCTTGTCGTGAAGCAACTTCACTTGCAGGCACCTGATGTGCCTTGTGTGGAATAAAAATAAACTAAATGATGAAACAGAACTGGGGCATAGAGCTTTCCATACAAATTGGCATATTTTTGAAGTCGTAGAATGCGCTTGTAAAAATAGACTTTATTTTATTTTGAGAACGTTTATTTTTATGCTCACATTTTTAGGTACTCATACTCTCAACAGCATTACCATACTTTCAAAATATGTTCATACATTTTATAAAAAAACATGTAAACATGCAACGAAAAATAAAAACAAAAGAAAATAAATAGAAATATAAGAGAATTTGTAGTTACTGCAGTAACTTAATTATGGGCCTATGTCGTTTTGACAACGTTTTTGCTTCAAGTTACAGTCGTGTTCTGTTTCGTCATTAAAATTAAATAAATAAATTTTACCAACAATGAAAGTAAAACATTAAAAAATAAACAAAAACTTACGGTTGTATTCATAAAAAGTTAATTTAGGTTTATTAAACATTATTAAGCAAAATCCACGAAAATGGTATTCATAAACGTCAAATAGCTTAAAATACCTTCAATAAACCAATGACAAATAGAAAAAATTTATTGTACGCTCGACCCTACTTTAAGCCAACAATAAGTTAAATTCTTACAAATTTTGTCTCTGATTAAGCTTTTTTCATTAATTTTAGGTTGAAGACGAAAACTAATCATGTTTTATTCTGAAATGAAATCTAAAAATTGTAATTTTAACGTTTACAAATTTGTAAATAAAATTCCAGATAAATTTTAAAAGTTTCTATTTTGGTGAAAAAAACTAAAATCTAGACATTATTGGATTAATAGATGAATATTTGACAGTATTCCAGTTGGTTAATACTATTTTTGGCAATTTGGAAATGCCCGCCTGTCAATCAAATCATGGCCACAATCATTTTATTTGTCTTTTTCATAGTTTATTCGCTAAATATAAAGCCATGAAGTAATTAAGAGTGTAAATTATATTGATTAGTGTTCTATCAATGCAAAATATCTTCTCCGGCAATAAAATGTAGTCTTTTATCAAAGAAATTTATCAGTATTTGCAAAAATTTATTAAAAATAAGTAAAAATAACAAAATGTGCATAGTGATGTTTATTTTGTCACAAAATATTCGTTATTCGAATACTTTTAATTATAATTAAAAATATATATGTTATATTCATTCATCTGAACTAAATATATATTTATTGTAGCCATGTATATATTTATTTTTCTTCAAAGTTCGTTCTTATTTTCAAAAATGTGTTATAACCAAAAATATAAAATTAAGAAAACCGACTCAACGAATATTTTATCCTAATTGTTCGCAACACTAACACAGAAAATGACAGCCAAATTGTACAGTGCTGCCAAGTTAAACAATAAACAGCACAATAGTTAATGTAGATTTATTATTTGTTTATGAATACCACAATTTTATTAATGGCTTTTAAGTCTAAAGTGTACTTTAACTATTGTGTGATAAAAATCTAAAATAAGCATTTTTTATGAATACAACTGTTAAAATTTTAAACAGTAACAGTTGTATTCATAAAAAATGCTTATTTTAGATTTAAATCACACAATAGTTAAAGTACACTTTAGACTTAAAAGCCATTAATAAAATTGTGGTATTCATAAACAAATAATAAACCTACATTAACTATTGTGCTGTTTATTGTTTAACTTGGCAGCACTGTACAATTTGGCTGTCATTTTCTGTGTTAGTGTTGCGAACAATTAGGATAAAATATTTGTTGAGTCGGTTTTCTTAATTTTATATTTTTGGTTATAACACATTTTTGAAAATAAGAACGAACTTTTAAGAAAAATAAATGTATACATGGCTACAATAAATATATGTTTAGTTCAGATGAATGAATATAACATATATATTTTTAATTATAATTAAAAATATTCGAATAACGAATATTTTGTGACAAAATAAACATCACTATGCACATTTTGTTATTTTTACTTATTTTTTTTTTAGCAATTTTTAATAAATTTTTGCAAATACTGATAAATTTCTTTGATAAAAGACTACATTTTATTGCCAGAGAAGACACTTTGCATTGATAGAACACTAATCAATATAATTTACACTCTTAATTACTTCATGGCTTTATATTTAGCGAATAAACTATGAAAAAGACAAATAAAATGATTGTGGCCATGATTTGATTGACAGGCGGGCATTTCCAAATTGCCAAAAATAGTATTAACCAACTGGAATACTGTCAAATATTCATCTATTAATCCAATAATGTCTAGATTTTAGTTTTTTTCACCAAAATAGAAACTTTTAAAATTTATCTGGAATTTTATTTACAAATTTGTAAACGTTAAAATTACAATTTTTAGATTTCATTTCAGAATAAAACATGATTAGTTTTCGTCTTCAACCTAAAATTAATGAAAAAAGCTTAATCAGAGACAAAATTTGTAAGAATTTAACTTATTGTTGGCTTAAAGTAGGGTCGAGCGTACAATAAATTTTTTCTATTTGTCATTGGTTTATTGAAGGTATTTTAAGCTATTTGACGTTTATGAATACCATTTTCGTGGATTTTGCTTAATAATGTTTAATAAACCTAAATTAACTTTTTATGAATACAACCGTAATAGTCTTAAAAAAACATTAAAAGAAAGATAAAAATGACGCGTGGTGTGTAACTTGCAGCTTGTAAAGCGCGAAAAGTTTGAAAACGTAAAACGCGTTGCTGCCTCAACGCTTGTTATAAAAAATCTTGAACATGTATTATGCCGAGAATTGTGGTTGTTATATAATACAGACGGGATATGTGGAAATCTAAACCGCAGTACCAGATGCTAACTGGATAAGGAGGAACGGGCTGGCAAAAATGTATTGGTATCATGGTGGAAGATGCACAATTAATTAATTTCAAGAATTCCGAAAATGCTTTGAATTATTGGAAAAACTTGTAAGATCAAAATAAGAAACATTGCAATACGAAAAGTGTTTCAACTGTAAAAAAGCAGGTCATTTTAATTAATATTTTCAAATGGTTCCTGGCCTTTATCATATTATTGGGGTTTTGAAGCAAAATTCTTCGAAGTCTTGCATCTAAATATAAGGCTGACAAAACGATATCATTGTCAAATAAATATACCTCTCTTTTCCCAAACAATTTACTAAAATCATAGTATAACTAGAATTCATGATGACTATAGTGGGCGTGGCACCTTCCATATTAAGAAAATATTAAATCAGTATATCCCGGAAAATGTAACAGTTAGAGCCCTCAAATTTGGTCGGAGCCACATAAGTCTCAATATGATTAGTTAGAATAAAAAGTATGCGGACTATCAGCAGGAGGTGGCACCTCCCATATTAATTAAATACACAAATTCGTTTATCTTGGAAACTATTAGAGTTAAAAGCTTAAAATTTTGCACGAAGTACTTTAGCATCCATGTAAATATTTTGGGTAATAGATAAGCGAACTACCAATGGGGGGAGCGGCACCTCCCATATGAAATAAATACAACAAAATATTTTATCTAAGAAACTAAAAGAACTAGATTCATAAAATTTTGCAAGAAGGACTTTCATATTCATCTGAACATTATGGGGGAAAAAGGGGACTTTCACCCCTTTTTCTACGGGTTTCAACATTGCTAGAGTATAAATAATTATTTTATTGTTGTTGTAAAACTATGCATTGATACCCAAAATATTGCGATTGAGGCGTGTTGCAGTATCAATTTTCAAACAAACTATATACGGTGTTTTAGAACAGTGTGAATTGTTTCTTTCTTTTGTTGCATATTCATACCCGAGACCAAAGGCATAATGTTTTTAGAAGTAATTGGGTTCATATCAATGCCACTTAAAATTTGTTCTGTTAAATATTTAAAGGGTTTTGAGTCCAAAATTGCAAAGTTTAATTTTTCATTTGTAACTAATTGAACGCATTCCTCCTTCAAGCATACATATATGTATACCGTAATTTCTCCACAACTCCACGTTTTGCACAATGAATGAAGATGATCCACTAGAATTATGGAAAATTGCACGAGCTCGCCAGATATTGCAATTTGTAGCGCTGGATTGTTAAACTATATGTACGTCCTGGCAACCTATCCGTCGACAAACCGACGGACTTTATCGTCTGTGAACGCCGAACATATAAAAATCAAAAAGACAGACTGAAGGCAGGAGTTTACCAACCGTAAATTTAAGAGATTCTGTTCGATTTGATAAACAGTTACCTAACGGGTGTGTGATATACTTCGCATAAAATTAAAACGCGCGAAGTTACCACAGCATTATTGTCATAAAAAACAACTACCACAAGCTAGAAGTGATTCCAGCTTCTTCCATAAAAGGAATTTAAGACAAGTCATATATGTGTACCTACTAGAGCCCTGCATGAGTGACTCTATTTGTCACCCACAATGAGTAATCCACTGCATTGCACTCAACTCATTTTGTATTTTGAATATTATTTACAAAGAGTGTGTACATTTGATTTTAAGAATTCAAATTTTTGTTTTACTCAATCATTGCGAGTATTTTTGTGTAAGTGTACGTCTACATTCAAATCGAGTAAGTTAACAACTTACGTATATTAAAAGAATACAAAACAAATATTTTGAATCGAGTGAATCGAGTTTTAAATGCCAAAAGAAAAATAATTTAAAAAGAAAAATAATAAAAAAACATGATATCGCAAATTAATTTAAAAATGAAAACAATGAGGTATATCTAATTAATAAATACTAAACCGTATGATAATTTTTTAATTTATATTATATTTTATTGTAAATTGGAACAGAATTCTAGCGACGCCGTTGATAGCCCAGCATCCGTTTACAGTGGAACTAGCTTGTTAAGCCATGATATAATAAAAACAAAAATAATTAACCAAGAATATAAATTAAACAATAAAACGGGACGTAGTAATGTATGGAAAATGATTATAAACGACTCAGGTGAAGAATTGTTAAATGTAGTCGCGTGTCGATTTTGCTTTAGCTTGTATAAACATAACAGTAAATCTACTACAAACTTGGTAAGACATAAATGCTACATCGCCACAAAAGATCGGGATAACGTATATAACGTTTTAGTGGATAGTGACACAAAAAGGAAAGCATTGTATATATTTACCATGTTGAGGTAGATTGGGAATCTGGGCGGTCTTCTTGGTCCCTGGTGTGCTGGTTGCATGTTGTTTTTTTTTTGTAGATTCTTGTGTGTGGAAGGTTTTTGTGGTGTCGTTTTGAGTTTTGTTGAGTTGAATGTTCCTGTGCGTGGTTTTTCTTTTGTTGTTGAATTGTGTAAATGGAATTTTGGTCTTTGCATGTTGAATTGTGTTGTTTCGCTTTTGTTTGTTTTCTTAGTTGTTCAATGTTTATTCTTTGTTGTTGACATGTCAAAAAGAAAATAAAATAAACATCAATAAGGTGACTCAAATATTAAGATGATTTAAAAAAATAGGGTTGCCGGATAGGAAATATGATGGAAGGAAGAGAGTTAGATAAAAGGTCTTCTCTTAATAAAAAAAGGCAACTTCAAGGCCAAAGGCAATAGTACAATGACCCAAATATGACAAATGTACAAAGTGCTCTGGGAAAAGAAAAGAAAACGTTGTTTTTTTTTTATATATAATATTTGTTTGTACAAATTGTCCGTTACTTTCTTGTGTGGTTTTTTAGGAAAATTAAAGTTAATTTCAATCAGATATAGAAAGTAACTCACAAGTGAAACAAGTGTGTACCAATTACATTTAAATATAACAATAAGGTGAACATATTGAATATAAACTGTTCAAGAATATATTTACAACAGGTACAAGTGCCTTCCAAATATACCAGAAATAGTGAATATTCAAAGAAACCAGTGAGTAAAAAGAAAAAAAAATAAAAACGTTAGAGTAAAATAAGGTGATTAGTTTTGAAATGATGAATATTTTTTTATATTTAATAAAATAGAAACGTGTCATAGGACAAGCAGACGGGGAATTGTATGAGAATAACTCATGAACCTTGCGGAAAAGTCCATACGACACCTATTCTGGGAGTAGAATATTCAAATTCAAATTTGGAGGTAATACTGTTCTTTATATATATATATTTAAAATTATATTGGTAGCCCAGTAGTGGTATAATAACACACATCATCTACAAGTCATATTATTTGAGTTGAAAAGTAATTCTATAAGAAACCCTGGATCAGAACCATTAATCAGAATCAGAACCTGCGAATACGTTCCACAAAATAAAATTGACTTTATAGCAAAAAGGCATTAGGGTAATACGAGTTAGGTTAGGTTAAGTTATATATAATTAATTTGTTTAGAATAAGTTTAGGCTTTTAATTTTTAAGAAATATAATTGTTAAGTTTGATATTTTCTTTGTTTGTGAAGGGATCGAACTAAATACAATAATAGTAATTTTCGAAAAAAAAAGAAGGCGAGGAATAGTATATTAGAGCCTCAAAAGATTCATCCTTCAGGGAGCTCCTTTAGGGATTTGAAAAAAAAAATATATAGAAATTTAACGTTTTAAAATAGTGAGTAAAGTTTTGAAACTCAATAGAAAAGTTGTTTTAGTTGATCCTTATTTAGTTTGATTGTGTTATTTGTATAGGTTAAGTGTTTTTTTTTTGTTTAGTCATTAATTTTATATAGATTAAGTTTAGTATTAGAAAAGAAATTAGTTTTTAATATCATCCTTATATAGTAAACAAAAAAAAAAATTTTACTTAAATCTTGAAAACCCATTCTATTATTCAAGTTTATAGAAAAACTGAATAAATAGCGTGTGTCGATTTTCATTGTTTGGTTAAAACAATTGAGAACAATTGGAAAAAGCAAAATTTTATGAGCTATTTCAAATAAAAAGAAAAAAAAAAGGAAAATTAGAAAAGGAAAAATTATTATTGGTTAAAGTAACCGTTCGTTTGAACTTAAATGTTCTTTATGTTAGCTGGAAACCCCGGAAACGAAGGATAAAATAATTATTAGGCAATTAACTAAGAATATAAATAATTTTAAAAAATAACGTATTTTGACAATTTGAATTTTAAAAGACCTTTTGCTATGTATATATATAGAAATCATACCTGTTAGTTTAAGTTATATTGATGTTTATTTTAAGTATTAAATGTAATAAATGTGATTTGAAAAGAAATTTTGTTAAAAAAATGTGTTGCTAAATTTTGTGCAGTTACAGGTACAGTGGGCCGAAGATGTGTAAGTTGGTGATATGGTGAGTTGTTAAATATGTGTATAAGAACAAGAATATGAAAGGGGTCATTAATAGGATAAGTGACCAAGGTAGGGTGGGCGACGAAGATGGGATTAACATCTTTACCCATACTTTATAAATGTTTGTGTTATATGGAAATGAAATTGAGGGAAGTTAGGTAGTTAGATATTTATTTTTTTTGTTGTGACGAACCACAGTTGGTGTAGATGCGGGTTGAGATCCCACGCGGAAGACTGAGCTAGTAGAGGCGGCATCGTAGATCACCAAAAGAACACAGAAGGTTTCGTAACAATAAATGGCGCCCAATCGGAAACGAATACCAACATCATGTTGAAACGGAAATCGTCCTAACAGTTGAAAATAAGAGTTAGTTTGCGTATTTCTTGGCATGATATATTTGTCATTGTCCTAACATATAAAGAGTGGTTAGTTTGCATATGATAAATAAGTTAGATAGGAGAAATTATATAGAGTATTAAACAAAATTGTCCTAATAAAAAGGAAATTAATTAGTTTGCGATTTTGTTTATAGTTCTTTTTGTTTATGTAGATAAAAATCTCACCGTATAAATGTCCTAATATCAAGAATATAGTTTGCATTATGTACTGAGAATATTATTGAGTAAATTGAAATATGTCCTAAATTTGAAAATAAGATTTAGTTTGCAAATTTCAATATCATTAGGGAAAATATATGAAAGCAAGTCATTATAAAACACAACATTTTTTTTTTTTGGATACCGTCAGAAACATATTTAACATTACAACATCAACCACCAAAACAGCTTTTACATCTACTGGAAATCCACTGTTCCTGTAATTTTATGTTATAGTGTTTTGTAAAATTTTAAAATATATTTTTTGATAGTATTATAAATTTTTGTAATTTCTTTGTGAAAATTTTGTAACCTTATTGTGTCATCTGTGTTTTGTGTAATTTTATTTTAATTTTGTTTAATTAGTGTAGTATTAAATGTTAATTGTATTTTATGTAATTTTATGTCAAAAATTAGTTTTGTATTGTGTGAATTTTATGTTGTAATCGTGCTTTATTAAAAAAAGTGAACTTTCTAAAAATATAATTAAGTATATGTATATTGTTTTCATTTATGTTTTATTTATGTTAGTTCATTAGTATCGTTCATTAATTTATGTATTTGTTTATTATATTTTTAAGATACTTATTTCTTTAAAATACAGAAAGTATTAAAAAAACCAATAAATTAGAATTTTTAAAAGAAAGATTATTAAAATGCCATTAGGGAGAACGCCAATGAACGCCGATAGGGAACCTAGGGAAACAGGAACATTTTTTGATATGTCGGAAACTATTTCAACACCACAAACTCACCCATCAAACGATCCACTATTGCATGCACAAACAACAGTTTCTGGGCAACAAACCGGAGCAATACCGAAAACTTTTGTTCCTCCGAAGAACTACAATTTTCCACCACCCAATATATCTCAAACACAAAGAGGGTTTTCATCGTGCAATAGCCCAAGGGCTTATGCTGGCCTTATTCGTGAATTGATATCTGAAAATGTTAAGGGATATAGATCAGAACTGGAAGATAAAATAGATTTGAAAATTCGAGAAAGTTTAGAGGAAGGTTTTTCGAAAATGATTAGGGAAATACAGAAAATGAGTATCGCAGGGAAAACAAGTGATGGTGTAGATTCTTTGGTTAGTGAGGAAAGTGAAAAAAGGTCAGGACAAACAGAAGAAGCTCCCACAAAGAGGAAGCCGGAAGCTCAGCCATGTCCACAAAGGAGATTAGATTTCAGAGAATCCTCTTCGAATATTAATACGCCTCCTGGCAATGATTCTCCACAAAACCTTTGTGGGGCACTTAAACCAATGAGAAATCTTATAGGTGTGGATAAATGGGACATCAGTTTCGATGGCAACATAGATAAGTTGTATATAGAAGATTTTATATTTCGTATTGAATACATGCTCAAATACCACAACTACTCATGGCAAGAACTTCAAGGGGAATTCCACAAATTACTAAAGGGAGATGCCAAAGACTGGTATTGGTTACTGGTACAACAAAGACCTATAGAATCGTGGGATGAATTGAAGAAAGCTCTTAGAGTACAATATGGTTCCGTGCGAAGTGAGTACGAAAGGTTGAGGGACTTTGAAGAGCGGCGACAACAACCGGGAGAGTCAATTGATGATTTCTTTCAGGCTATGCGAAAGTTAAGGTCAAGACTTAGAAATCCCTTGCCAGAATACGAAGTTATAAGAATATTGAAAAGAAATTTACGTCAAGGTATATCTCAAATAGTTTATTCTGTTCAGGTATTTTCTGTAGAGCATTTGAGAGATACGTGCAAGGAAGTTGAAAGAAATTATTTCCGTGGACGAATGACAAACATTCCACAAACCCGTTTCGTACCACCTAGGAAACAACTTGAGGAAGTTGATATGGAGTTAGAGGGAGAAAAACAAACGGAAGTAGTAGAGGAAATCAAATATAAAACGGACAGTACTTACCGGAAATCAAACAATATGAATACTGATAAGGTGCTTTGTTGGAACTGTAGATTACAGGGTCACTTATTTAACGATTGTCCCAGTGTTCAGAGAACCTTGTTCTGCTACAGGTGCGGATTAATGGGAGTTGTTACTCCTAATTGTCCCAAATGTTCGGGAAACAAGATAGGGAGTGTGACGAAAGCGGCGGAGTCACGCTCCACCCAAACTATAGCCGAACAACAGCCAATGTAGGCATTCAATGTGATGTGAGTGAACCTGAAAAGAGTAAAATGGAAGATGAGAAAGTAATAATAGTGAGGAAAAGTGATATAAAAGTAGTACAGGAAAATAAGAATAGAAGAATAGTAGGATCATATGATGAGCGTTTGAAAAGATACATGGAAGTTAGAAATAGGATTTTTAATACGGAAAATGACAATACAAAACTGGATAGAATCAAAAGAACTAGGAAAAGATTTAAAAGTAAAAAAGCACTTTGTGATGAAATAGGCAATGTAATCAGAAAATGTGATGATATAAACAACTATGATATCGATCCTAGAGCCTTTGTCGAGATAAAATTAGAGAATATATTAGTAAAAGGTCTCTTGGATAGTGGAGCCTCGATAAGTCTGCTTGGAAAAGACTGCGAAAAGA